CAGGGAGCAAGGACTTACAGCATATTTGGAACCAAAGCTAAGGCCTGTTTTGTATGTGCTGGGTTTGAGGATACATCCAATTATCACCTTAGCAGGTGTCTGTCTACACATCTACCTTCAGGGGCTTTATACACTTTGCAAAATATCCTCCTTCATGGGTATTCCACATTGCTTACATAGTGACAGGGATTAAAAACAAAACTAAAAAATAAATGTCAGTGTTTGCCTTCCTTTGATTCTTAACACATCACCGTCTTTCCTTCCAGCTTAGTTTCCAGGGACAAGCCGAGCACAAATGTCTCCTAGAAATAATGGGCTTTGCAAATAACTATAATAACTATATAGTAACTGTCACTATATTAACTGTCGATAAGCTGAGAACTGAGTCTGAAATGCAGACCAGGATTTTTTTCTTACATAACCATGGCTTACCTTTGCATCCATCTTCTCTGCTATGTTTGTGGCTTACATCACAGGGGGAGGAGCTTAGCTCATTTCTGCCAAATATGGGAATGAAAAACTTCTATTTTCAAACCAATTAAAAAATCATTTTAAATTAAGCATTTAGTCACAGCTGACTTAGATCACACCAGACTCCAACTAGTTCAACATAACCAATTACTACTATCTCCTATAGGTCAGGTCCCATTTTTCAAATGCTGTATGAATATTGTACCCATTTAATCCTTCAGACGACTGTGTGAGAGGCAGGCTGAGAATTATTAGAGGAAACATCTCAGAAGGAGCGAATGACTCGCCAAGGTTCCCAGAGCCAAAGTGATTGCTTACTATCCACATCCTGTTCATGTGTCAGAGTTCAGGTTCCCTTCCAGAGGCCACAGCTGACAAAGTATGTCAGCCTTAACACAGATGTTCCAATAGGCTCGGCGTTCCTCTAACCTGGGTGTCACTGATAAATCAAAAAAATCATCTGGATTTCCTAAAATCTCCCCAGTGCCCCAAATCTCAAAGGGCTGGGCTTCATGCACTATGATAACATGGAGTTCGCTGGGCTTGATCTTCTCCATTTCCCAACACAACATAGACAATCCCCTTCTCTGACAGCCACTAAAAGGAAAATAGTAACAAGAAGCAGAGCTTATAAATTTCCATTACACTTAATGCCTGATTTCACTTAGTTAATGGATTCATTTATTAAAGCAATTTGTATAAATCTCCAAGGGCCTGCTAAGGTTGTTGCCTTATGGTTTTATCACGTCATATACTTCCTTTATTTCTAGCCTTTAACAAATAGTGTGGATTGGCAAGGAACTTTGAACCAACTACTGCTCAAACTATAGGTAAATTACAAATAAAGTTTAAAATAAGGGCTTTTCATGCCCCAGGGGTTTCCTTTAGCAACAAAAAGGGATTTCATTTTTTGTATGTTTCAGCTGAGTCATCAATCCCAGCTACCATTGTCTGTCAGTTTCATGTTGACTCCAGGCTTATTTTCAGGAGCCTACTTGTCTCCTTCAGGTTTTCAGGCATGGATATGAAGGGTTTGGGGAGCCATCTGACATCAGTATAGGCACCCTCATGACGGTCCCTCTCACTGAGGGGAGCAGGCAGACAGCAGAGGTGTGGCCTTGTATAACTGCAGGTACACTGTGGTCAGGAGGGAGGGGTCCCTGAGGACCTGCTGGGCTCTGGCCGAGGTCAGTTAGCCAGTGAGAACTCCACAATGATTAAGTCTGGGCTGTATGGCTCATACACACATGATCTAGAATCTAGGTGGATCTAGAAGAAAGGCCATTCTTTTTTTTTTTCTTTTGAGATGGAGTCTCGCTCTGTTGCACAGGCTGGAGTACAATGGCTCAATCTTGGCTCACTGCAACTGCTGTCTCCCAGGTTCAAGCAATTCTCCTGCCTCAGCCTCCTGAGCAGCTGGGACTACAGGCACGCATCACCACGCCTGGCTAATTTTTGTATTTTTGGTAGAGATGGGTTTTTGCCATGTTAGCCAGGCTGATCTTGAACGCTTGACCTCCAGTGATCCACCTGCCTTGACCTCCCAAATTGCTAGGATTATAGGCATGAGCCACCATGCCTGGCCTAAAAGGCCATTCTTAACATGAAATTGCCCCACAATCAGAAGCAAATGGGGACCTACACCGGAGGAAGTCAGAGACAAGGAGAAACAAAATTCAGCCCACCTGAGATTGACAATACAAATGACTATCTGTTCAGTTAAGTGGCAACCACTAGTATATAATTATTGTCTCCTATACCAAATGAAGTACATAACTTAGGAAGTGCTTGGAAAAAATAAATGAAAGAAAAAATTCATTATCTCTTAGTTGTACTTTAAGGAAGGGGAATCTGGTGATGGTTGTGTGCTAATGGAGAGGTGAGGCATAAAGGTATCCACATTGGGAAGAGCTAAATTGCTTTACTTTAGAAGTGGATCCAGAAGGGAGTGGAGTGAGAAGTTAGAGTGAGAGGCTGGGTGGAGAGAGGAGTGAGTGGAGAGACAGACGAAGAGACAAAGGGAGAGAGAGTAAGAGAGCCAGAGGTGGGCACAGAAGGACTTAGAGGCTTATGGATAAGAGAGAAGGTTTGGAAGAGACAGTGAGGATGGAGAGAGATTGTACTACGCAAGATAAACTCTGCAATCCTCTCTGTGAAATTGACATAAATAAAATTATATATATGTAATATTATATTTATTTTCTGTCTGTTGCTGTATTATGCGAAAAGAATTGATCAAAGTTTCACCATATGGGATGAAGGGGACATTTGGGACGGTCTGACTTTAAATATAGTTTATATGGTATATGCAAAATTCTCTTTGGGGTTCTTGGAGGCACCTCCAACAGTAGCTCAAACCAGGGACAATGGCGGGCCCATGTGGCAGCAGAGTGGGAAAAATGTACCAGACATGTTAAAATGCCAGGAGCAGAGAAAACAGATGGAGGCTTCCAACATGAGCCCTCATTTTAAAGTCCTAAGGACAAATTATTGTAATTGGTGTCAATTTATGAGGGAACTGTGTCCTATGACAGCAGCTCCACAAGGCTGCTGCAGGCACTGATGGATGGTTAGTGCAGGGAAGACAGCGTAGCTGCTGGTCTTCCATGATGCTCACGAAGCTGCTGGGGTGGGCTTCTCCTGGAGAAGAAGGAGATGCACGGAGTCCTGTTTCATGGATGACATGGGGGCAAAAGGAGAGGCTGTTGGTGGAGACCAGCCAACCTTTGGATCACAAATGAATAAATATATGAATGACAAGTTAATGGTGGCAGATGTACACACCAGGCAATGGGTGAAAACCCCACTTCTCATAAAAAGACTAGTGTTGATAAAGTCACTAAACCTTTTCATGGTGATCAAGAGAAAAATGGGGCTTTCTGTTCCCAGATTCCTTTTGTGGTTCAGCTCCATTGCTTACTAGCTGTTGCCCTTGGGCAGGTCACTGAACATCTCTAAGCTTTGGTTTTATTTTATTAAAACTGAGGATAATATTAGTGTCCACTTCAAAGGATTATGGTGAGATTACTTGAGATAACCTGTAGCCCAAAATATATTAATGATGAGGATGATGATTTTCATTCTAAGACCACTTGGTAATCAATATGTATTGATGATCACATTCACTACACACACTTACAAAGTGCAGCTCCCAGGCCGGGCACGGTAGCTCATGCCTGTAATCCCAGCACTTTGGGAGGCCGAGGCAGGCAGATCATGACGTCAGGAGTTCAAGACCAGCCTGGCCAATATGGTGAAACCCCATTTCTACTAAAAATACAAAACTTAGCCAGGCATGGCGGTGCACTCCTGTAATCCCAGCTACCTGGGATTAAGGCAGGAGAATTGCTTGAACCGGGACCTGGGAGGCAAAAGTTGCGGCAAGCCGAGATCGTGCCACTGCACTCCAGCCTGGGCTGCAGAGAGAGACTCCATCTCAAAAAATAAAAATAAAAATAAAATTTTAAAAAGGTGCAGCTCCCATGTTAGTTTCCTGGTCTCTTTTTGGCCTCTTTCTTTTCAGTCACCAGCACTTCCTTCTCCTAAATGGTGGGGCAAGTATATGTTTTAACCAATTCTAATGCTCATTGGTTTTGTTTTTTAATCCTCTGAGGTGTAAGTGATGCATTTTCACATTAATAATATAATAACTCTATATATTGTATATAGTGGCTACATATAATGTTAAAGGTATATTATATATAACGTGGTGGTTTCTGTGTTCTATCACACATTAGAAAATAGCTAGGATGAAAACAGCCTGTGTGCAAGGGACAGACCCACCTCTCTGTGCCACATGAAGCTATGTGGAAGCTGTGGAATGGGCAGGGACCAGGCACAGTCTTCATAATTGGTCTCGTAACATTTCCTTTGATGTGGTGTTTGCCCTTTACAAACCCCACTTACTCCCACTCTGTGCCTTTTTCCCGGGTTCCAGCTCTGTTTCCCACAGTCAATCCAGAAGGTTGCCTTAACATACTAAGCCTTTGCTGTCCCTGTTGTGTCCCTGAAAGGCCTCCTGTGCCTTTGGCTACAGGTCCTGAATGTCCAGGCCATCTGTGCTATCTGCTTCGCTGTACCTCATCAAGACAGCGTGAGGGTGGAGGGCAGAACCTTGGTCCTGGCCTCTTAGCTTTTGTGGGTTTCAGCCAGACCCTGGGTGTTATTTTAGTGCAACTTTGGTGTTTAATTTGAGGATGTGTGTGGACCAGAAGGAGGGACCAAAACATGATTTTTTTTCCCCTTGGTCAAATGATTAAATTTGAAGTTCTAAAAAATGCACACTTTGGTCCAAAGCTGTGTCCAACTGGGAAGAGAGAAATGCCCTGGAAACCCCTCCCAGACCTGGGACCATCCTTCCTTAACCACCAGCTGCCCCACAGGCCTGCGGACTGCGGGCATCACCTGGGCAGGCTGTGCTTACTCACCACCCAGGAGCCCTGTGCCCTGAAGCTGTCCTTCCTCTCTTCAAAGTGCATTTTGTGCCTTTGCTGGAAGAACCGACTACAGGTTTGTTCAATTTCTTACAGTCTTGAAAGCGCCACAAGCAGCAGCTGCTGAGCCATGGCTGAAGGGGAAATCACCACGTTCACAGCCCTGACCGAGAAGTTTAATCTGCCTCCAGGGAATTACAAGAAGCCCAAACTTCTCTACTGTAGCAACGGGGGCCACTTCTTGAGGATCCTTCCGGATGGCACAGTGGATGGGACAAGGGACAGGAGCGACCAGCACAGTAAGCTCATCTCTATGGCACCCCCTTCCCTTTCTGACATCTTCTGTAGTCGAGGTGGGAGGAAGGTGCATATTTAAGTACGGGTACTTGCTTCTCCAAGGTTCTATTCAGGCGTGACACATTCAGAGGTGGAGTCACATAAATGTGTAGAATGCCTGGGTTTGGAAAATAGGGAGTTGTGGGGGCCACCACTTACCCAAACGTGTCCTATTTCAAGTTTTTTAAAGCACTCTCTGCTGACCCAACAGAACTGGCTGCCGGTGCTCGATCCCTGTGTGTTTTCCCAGGTTTCTGTAACTAGTGAAGGATCTGGCCCCGAAGGCTAGTCAGGGGTCTGCATGCTCCATGATGGGATGAACCAGACGGGCATGGCGGTAAATCCTGCACAGAGATGTGGGCTCCGTTTCAAGTCAACTGACTCTCCTGGTTATGTTTCCACTGGGCTTGATTTGTGAAATCCTAGTTCATAATCGTAGTCTTACACATCATAAATTACGCAGCTTTCCCTCTGCGTATCACGCAGATGTGGCTGTGGTAACCAGCAGAGGTAAAGTCATTCTCCAGACCTTATAGAAACTGGAGAGTAGGAGCGACTAGCGCCAAATGCTGAATATCTCTTCCAGCACTTCCTGGCAGCCCGAGTCTCAGAGGTGTTGATAAATGAAGGTATGACTCTGGAGAAAAGAATCTTCTTGACTCTCTAAGTATAAAAAAATCTCTTCCTTCTGCTTTGATACTTCTGGCACTGGTGTGTATGTTTGATATTAGGTGTCCAGGTCCTATCGTGATGTCATCTGAGATTCCCTGAGTCCCACTGCCGCATCAGAGGTTACAAAGAAGCCTAAAGCCAGATCCAGTCCCTGCTTAGAGGGTCAGCAATCTCAAGAGTCAAACATAAAACAAATCAAGAGAAGGAAAATCAGGAGACACAGAAGAAGCCAGGCAGGCAGGAAGTTTCTGTAGGACTGGCTTTAAAATGCAATACAAAACACTCACTTTGACATGATGGTTTATATATCAGGTGGTCTTAATTATTCATGGACCATGCACCAGAGGTTGCAGGTTCTAAGCACAAATGACCACTTCACTGGTGCTCACGCTCTACCCTCAGATGCACGGGTAATGGAGATGGACGCTGACGTTTACACACGAGGTGACATTGTTCCTTCCTCCCCACCCACCACACAGACCCTTGAGATGAGGAGCAGGAAGGCTGACGCTGGGGCTTGCAGCTGCAGAATTAGCTCTTTTGGGCTTTGTTTTGATGGTTTATCTTCAAATGGGCTTGCTGAATGCCTTATTCTCAGTGAAAAAACAGGTGTCAGAATGAGGCAAAAAAAGGACTCTAGTTTGTTAAAAAGCATACATAAGCAATGTTCACTGCAAATTAGCAAACATAGATTGTAGTCCATTGTGTCAGGCATGATACACAATTCATGTGATCTGCCCCACAGAACACAAGGGAACAAGCTTTAATTCCTCTGGGTTTTAAGTGTTCCTAATACATCTTACCAATTTTCTGAAAAAGTAGGGAATGCTCTCCGGTCCTCAGAACCCAGGAGGAAAGACAAGCTTCGTGATATGTTCCTTGGGGTTAAGCTAGCTCTTCTGGGAAACCTTGACTTCTGGAGTGACAAGAGGCTCCAATACTGGAATTTCTGTAGCAATGGAAAATGGCTTCCTTGTTGTCATTCCATCATTAGCAAAACAGACTGCACTCTGGGTGTGTAACGCTGGCACAACTTCTGGAGTCCACAGTGGATTTGGCCGCCTGACTTAGGATGTCAGGAACCCCTAGAAAGGAGCACAACGTAGCCCTGGGAGTGCAGGTGAGGATTTCTGCATTCAAGGAATGCCAGATTATTTTCCAAGTGAACTGGGGCAACTGCACCTTTCTGTCCTCACTTTTCTCATTTGTACAAAAAGAATACTAATATTCCTTGCCTCACAGGTTTCTTGGGAGGGTTAAATGAGATAATATAGTGAGAGTTCTTGGCACAGTGGCTGGCACAGAGGAACAGCACAGCACGTGTTGGTTCATATTGCAGTTATCATCATCGAGCCTTCTATATAATCAGCCTAGCATATGGTAACAGAGGGTCGTATTTAAGGACCTTCCAGACTCTTCTTTTTTACAGTATTGCCACCCAGGAAAGCCAAGGGGCTTTGGATTCAGGGTCTGTCTGCCAACACTCGGAGTTGTTGTGTGGGCCTATCATTTGCTTGCTCTGAACTAAGAACAAGGACCAAGAGGACAGAGATCAGAGTAAGTGGGGTGGGTGGTCAGAAGCCCATCCCTGTACCTGTCATTACTGGAACTGGATATTCCGCTGCAGAGTCAGCAGGCTCCAGTTCAAGCCTACTCTGCCCCTTTCTACCTGGAGCAGCCCTGGACAATTAACATTCTTACCATTATGCATTCTTTCTGTTTGCAAACTCTGCAAGAGAAGCTTCAAGCCCCCCAGCCCTAGGACTCGTCCAGTCCTTTCCTAACTAGAAATTTAAGTGTCTCCAGTGTTCCCAACTAATTTTCAGGAAAATCGTTTAATCTCGCTGAGACTCAGTTTCTTCACCTGTGGAATGGAATGGCAGCATTGCCTAGTGTGCCTCATAAGGGCGAAACTTCTATTTACTAGGATTCTGCAGGTGAGAGGCGTCCTGGGCACGGAGGTACTCCCTAAATGTGGTTCTGTCGCCCTCTTCTGCCCAGTGGTGGTACTGCCAAAGCCCTTCTGAGTTTCAAGGGTTATTCAGAAACAGAATTGCCTCGGCCAGGCATGAGGCGGATGCTCCCTGGCTACATGTGATCCGCACGGCCTGGCAAGGAGATATTTTCGATTCTTTGATCACTAGTTTGAGCATAGTTAGAGACTGAGGTGACAGAGTCACATGTTAAGACTTCCTTCAGAAAGAGCGTTGCTAAAAGCCAATCGAAAAATTTAAACAAATCACACAAGATAGAACCGTATGCCTTTGAGCTCTACAAGGCAGAAATAACTCCTTTCAGGGCTTCTCTTTGTCCCAAGGTCATTGATCTTTCCTGGGCAAGTGTATCTTCTTCCTCCCTCAAGGAGAATGAGTTTCCAAGTACCTAACCTTTCTTATAGTGGTATAACCCTAGGGCAGACGCTTGTGTGGGGGCCATTCGAATAGAGACCTGAGTAAAATGTCTCTACTGGTGGACTTCTGGCCTGCAGAGAAGATGGTTTTGGTTTGTCCCATTACCATTCTTCAGATCACTGCTGCAGGCAATTACCAATATGGACTGTGGACACTGGTTACGCTGCCATGCTAGGAAGGCCGGGCAGAATCAGCCAGGGAGTGCCGCATAGATCCCAGGGCTGATGGGCACAGTTTGTGAGAAGGTTCATGTTGGCCCCTAAGCTTCAGCTCAGGAAGACACATAAATGGTGTCACCATGAGAGGGGGAGGTCCTGGAAGAGGATCAGGTCTGGTGGAAGATGGCCAGTTCCATTTTGGACACAAGCATTTGAAGAGTGTCTCATGTACCATGCAGCCGTCCTTGGGGTTATAATTCTCCATTTATTTGTGCAGTTATTTAATGGTTTTCCCTCCTACTGGACTCCTAGAGGATAAGGACTTTGTCTCTTATTGCTCAACACCACAAACTTTGTGTCTAGCACATTGCCTGCCACTTGGTAAAATGCCCAGTAAACATTAATTTTATAAGTGACTGAACTGTATTGGTGGCAGCTAAATTCAAAGTCAACAATATATTCAATAAACATCTACGAGCCCTGATATATGCTGGGCATTGTGTTGAACTCCTCCACTTCCACCTAACCACAACCTTGAGAGGTTACTAATTATCATCACTCTGAGAACGCTGCAGCTGACAGGCGTGACCAGCTCCTAACTGGGAGGGCTTGGCACCGACCACATCTTCTGCTTCCAGGACTAAGGCTCCTTCCGTATCCCACCACCACCTGACACCAACATCATGACAGCGGTTCCGCCCCACAAACTGATTCAATACACACATCTGTGCTGTGGGTCAGATGGGTGGAGGTCAGGTCCCAACACTGCTATTTACCAGCTGTGTCATCCTGGGAATGGAATGGCAGCATTGTGCCTCAATGTGCCTCAGTTTCCTTGTTTTAAAAGCAAGAATGACAACAGCACCCACTCATCGGAACGTGGGAGTTTTCATGTGATAATGTTTGTAAGAGTGTTTAGCACGCTGCTAGGCACATAAGTGCTCCCAAAAAATGATATTGATCATCATTCTTCTGGGATTCCTGAGCCTTCCTCACCTAACCACCTGACCTGTCAAGTCTGTTAGATTAAGTGAATGCTATGCTTACTCGCAGAACTGAGGGTGACTCTTTGTCCCAGCTTCTCTGGCACTACCTGGGTTGAAGCCCCTGAGGCCTGACACAGAGGCACAATGTGCCCAGGCACAGATGCAGCAAGCCCCGCTCCATCTCACTCCTCTGGCAGGGCAAGTCTGCTCTGTGTTTGATTCTGATCTTTCTGGGGAGTTTCCTCTCTGGTGAAGGGGGACCATGACTTATCCCTCAATGGGATTATTAACTGGAACAATAATTAGAGAATAATTTCCTTATGAGCATTCCAAACCTGCAGCTGCCTGCCATAGCCCACAACCCCTCACCTCCCCAAGCACGCAAGAAGCTACGTGGGGAGCAGAATTACGGGCACCACTCACTGCACAAATGGAAACGTTCTTAGGCAAAGTGCGTGCCAATCAAATATTTATAAATCAAGCCACATCCTAAAGGCAGTAGCAGAATTCACTGGTCAAAACAATCCTACCTTGCAGCCCTTTCTAAAGGGCAGGTTCCTCTTCATGAAATGCCTCCTGCCCTGTTACTTTAGGGGAGTCCAGACTTCTATTCTCTGGTTGGGATCACTCAGCACCTAGCGGGTAAGGCACTGTATTCCCCACCAGCATAGACCCGAAGTCAAAACAGCTTTTCAAATGACTCCTATGGGGAGAGCTGGACCCCACTGCCAGAAGT